TGGTCATTTGACATAAAACTAATCCAGATACAAAATAAAGAATACAAAACGAACATAATTGCATCCAGATATAATTTCCAGACGCATGATCCAAAATTTCCAGAATCGCGAACGAACAATATCTGAATGCTGCATCCAATTACTGCGCGTGGATGCTGCGTCTGGAATTCTCATCCAATTCACGAAACGAACAGGACCACACTAGCGATTCTTTAAGTCAAGTTGGACCAATAAGGTATTCATCCATCCATAACCATAAAGACGGTCATCTCACTTTTAAAAGTGCACTAGAAACAAACAATTAATAATAATTGTTAATAATACAAATTTATTGATCCGATCAAAATTATTTAATCAGAGTAAATAAATAATAACTAGATCTGGACCCGCACAACCGTGCGGGTATTTTAATACGAAATATTTGAAATTATATAATTTTCACTCTGTTTTAAATAGATGATGTTTTAAAAGGTTTATTTTATTTCAAAATATAAGATGTTTTGAGATTTTAATGTATATATTGAGGTTTTAAAGTTATCTTTAACTTTATTGGAAACTGTTTAACCGATAAAATTTTACTCTTTCTAATATTTGGTTGAATGATTATAAAATTATATCGTTAAAAGTACTTTTGTAAAAGAATGTAAATTTCTTAATTTTTGTGCAATGATCCAAAGCATCATATATTAAGAAACGGAGGGAGTAAAATTTATCAATAAATAAATATAATTTGATTGTATATACTATCCAATGATCGTAAATAATATTTATGTGGCTTATAATAATATTAATTTAAAATTTATAAATTTTTATTTTTGTAACAATTTTTTAAAAACATTATTATGTAACATTACTAATTTATATATTTTGTTTTCTTTCTAAATTTTGAATATATATATAAAGTAAATTAAATTGGACTTACATAATACATAAACAAAATTTTGGGATATTTTTAAAAGTATATTACATAATTTTAATTTTTTTGTTTATAAATAAAAAAATGAATTAAAATATTAATTATATTCTATGATAATTATTTTTTTAATCAAATAACTTTTGAAACTATATCTTGAAAAGATTCTATAAGATTTTTAAAAGATTTTCTTAAAATTATTTATTTGTATTTCAAATAAAAAATAAAGATATGAAAAGTTAATATAATGATGTTATGTAAAATTTAATAAAATTTCTAATGATGGTCCAAACTAAAAAATCACACATGAAGTGAGTCATGACTTCTCTTTTAATATAATAGATGATCACTAGGTGACTTCTATATTAACTTTAGTAACTAGACCTTGACCCGCGCGCCAGCGCGGGTATGATTTTCTGGTTGTTGATTATTTATTTTATTAAATGATGTATTTGTAATACTTGATCATATTATATTCACTTAGCATATAATATTTTTGGCATGTTAAACCATCTATTGTATGATCAATCTTCGATATCATATAAAAAAATTAAACATATATAGTTAATTAGAGAATTGTATACTATATATAAAGACAATGGAAATGACCGCAAATTATTTTAAAAATTATATTATGACTCAATATGCCTA